CGATGGGCTGAATTGCACAGAACGCATGATCGCACCGACTAGTCTGGTGCGCGTTGCTATTTATTATTTTTTGTTTTTACTTTTATCTTTTTGCGACCTTTTCCATAAATATAAAATATCTAAATTTAAATTCCTCTGCAAAGTTCTCCAACTCATTTGCTGACCGTATCAGCTGGACCATCACTGTTAGTGATCGGCACGCCAGGTTCTTATTGCAGGGCTACAAAAGGCATCGATCTCTGACCGCAGGAACATTACTAGCGTGCAGTTGTATAATATTATCCTGTTGATGGCCTAAACGGGACTTGTATAGTCAGAAATAAGGGACATTACCAGTAACATGGAGTTGAGTAGTCTTATCCTGTTGGTAGCCTAATTGGGCTTTGTAAGGGCCAATATGACTGTTGGATTCGGGATTCTTTTTTATATCATTCAGCTACATCGCGGTGGCTGCAGTGTTTTGCATTAAACTCGTCCCACACTTCGCTGTTGGAGTTTTGTGGGTAGTTGATTTGATCAAATGAAAGCACTGAACTTTCTCATTATCACCATCATACGAACATTAATTATGATAAATATAAAAAATATATAAGCTGAAATAAAATTATAAAAAGTCTGATGCTTCGGTCCGTTAATAATTCGTAGAAGTTCCTATTCAGTAGCACAATCGAAGCTCGTCGGTAGGACGGTTGTGGTGTTGATAAAAGAAATCAAATAAATTTATGTCATATTTTCATTGATTTCATTTGATATCGATGCTGGAAGGCTAATTAAACTGCCTGCATTGGAACTATTCATTCTTACGTCGTGGAAATATAATCTAACATGGGGGGAGGGGGAGGGGGTGGCGCAGCTGTCACATGTCCGACTTTACGGAGTGCACATGTGTTCAGCAGCTTATCTCGATCCTTATCCGCTGTTATCGTGGGGAAATTTTTTGGCATCGAAAAAGCACGGCAAAATTGTATTCGCTGTTCTAGTACTACTTATTTCTAGTTCGAGATCGGAGCATAAATTGTCGACTTCGAGCTTTTCTGGATCATCCAGCTCACGGAGGCAAACAGCTCCTGAATCATCCTCACTGAGAAGTGAGAGAAAACCAGCTGTGATGAGTAAAAGGTAAAAGCACCCGTTTATTGTTGGCGTGCCTGGTGAAGCAGCAGTCAGCGTCGTTTCTGTGCTAAAAAAAGAGAATTAGTTTTTACCGACGAGTGCCTTCGGTTAGAAATCTTTTTGGGGCACGTTAATCTAGTGTTGTATTGTTCCTACTATGGCTTAAGCAATTATCCACGATTCGAAATCGATCGCCAGGAAAATCGTTTTCCAAACTGTTGATCGGATGTAGTGCTAAATCTGAACACAGCTGTACTGCTGACACAGCCTGTCCAAAATCTTTGAAATTTTGCAGGTCTACTGGAATGGATGTGAGGCAGACAACACTGAAATCAACACATCCTCGTCCAGCGCTTACCGAACAGTCATCACAGGATGAAAGGAAGAAGCCACATCGAGATGTGGAGCAAAAACGACTTCTGATTAGGTTCCAAGACCAGGCTGGTCCAAGTGAAAGGCCGGGAGCACCGAGCACCCAGGAGCTCGAAAAAGGCAAGCATTGGAGTTCAGTTCTAGTAAAATTATCAGCTTGTTTGTCAACTATCTAGCTGCAGTACTGAATGCTGCACCACTTGATGATGGCTTGCTGGCGGTCTTGGCTTTCATTTTTTGGCAGTACTTCTGACAAAAGCACTTTGGCAAACCGTTTCGCGATGTTATTGGTGCATGTTGAGCACCGCCACGTCGGCTCCTAGACCACGGTGTCGTATTTTGCCCTCTCACAGGCAGCGAAATATAAAGGGCTTTTGATTTTTGTTATGCGTTTTTGGCGTGCAGCGCTAGAGCGCTGCTACAGGCAGCAAAAATTCATATTGCAACGGCCCTGTCAGTGTGTGTGTATGTATGCATGTATGTTTTTGTGTGTTCGTCTGTCCGGGTATTTCGACTCGCCAGCCACGCAAGCTTTGAAGATGAAATTTTGTCGGTGTATTCCCCAGCCAAGCGCCACCCCAGGACCACGGTGTCAACCCTCACGCACGTTTGGGCCCCGCGTACAAGCACGCGAAAGTTTTGACGGGAAAATTGCTAACTCGGCAACGAGAAAAGCTAGAAAGCTCAAACCTTAGGGTAATGTTCCCTGCCCGTGTACGACAAAAAGATTTGATAATGTTCCCTGCCCGTGTACGACAAAAAGGTTTCAAATTCAGCTACCGGGGCTTACGTACGGGCACGTGAAAATTTTGGCGGGAAAATCCATAGCTTGGGAGCGAGAAAAGCTAGAAAGTTGAAACTTTGGGGGAATGTTCCCTACTCATTCACGACCAGAAGTTTTCGAACTCAGCCCTTTAGAATCGCTCGGGGCTCACGTACTGGTGCGTGAAAATCTCGGCGGGAAAGTGTTAACTCGGGTAAGAAGAAAGCTAGTAATCTGAAATTTTAGGAAAATGTTCTTTGTCCATGCATGACTAAAGGATTTCAAATTCAGCTGCCT